GTACACTACTTTTACAGATATTTGTTACATGGAGGCTCACTGAGTTTTATCATCTCATACTGTGCATGGTTTAGGGTCAAGTTCAAATAAGGCGTAGTAAGGTACTTGGTATTGTGCTTGCAAGAAAATTCCTGAATGTAAAGGACTTCTTAAAATGACCTACAGCCTACTACAGCTTCTTGCTGTCTTCCTGAGTGGGTACACAGTAACTTCACAGCCTGGCTTCTCTCTCATGAAACTAAATCCTGTCTAGAAATGTTTCCTTTCCATACCTCTGACCGTACAGTAATTTCTGCTGGAACACTGCATTACCTTTTATTCTGTTGTCGTATTTTTAGGAGAAATCAGAGAACAGAATGGTGATAGCCTTGTCCATGCTGCTATTGTAACAGAAGGAGCCGCTGTTGGAAGTGCAGAAGCAAATGCGTTCAGTGTTCTTCAGCATGTTTTAGGTGCTGGACCCCTTATCAAGAGAGGAAGCAATGTTACCAGCAAACTGTCCCAGGGTATTGCTAAAGCAACTACCCAGCCGTTTGACGTAAGTTCAGAGGGTTACTGTACTCTTTTATATTCTAGGTAAAACATATTATCCTTCGAGAGGTTACCGCCTCCAGCTAGAATCTTAATTAGCTCATTCTTGCACAAGTCACAATATTTCAGAGAAGGCTTTCCAATCTGATCTTTCCTCTGCACAGATGCAGTTTAGCTTCCTGAATTACAGTATTTTAGATCCTAATAGTAATTATTTTGCTATGCTTGATGCTGAGTTGTTCTGCTACACAGTTGATGACCATGTTTGTTTTGCAGGCTTCTGCATTTAATGTTAATTATTCTGATTCTGGGCTCTTCGGGATTTATACCATATCTCAGGCTCCAAATGCTGGGGAGGTGAGTTGCTGATTACTATTTAAATATTAACAACATAACCCTCAAACTAGTATTTTGATTTGAGATAGTGACTGGTTCCTCTAAAAAAAGTCAATTCATTTGGTTTCTTGCATGAGAATGCTGCATGTGCAGTTATGACTTAGCTCTGTAAGCTGGGAATGAGACTTGCTTTCTGGGAAGTACAAAAGCCTAATACAAACTAGAGCTAGTAAAATACCTTGAATTGCTGACTGTAATTGCTGATTTAAATGTGTAAGCCTAAGCATATTGTGAGGAACATGCTGGCTCTTGAAGCTGGCAGAACTGAATACTCTCATGAAAAATGGTGAGACCATAAAAATTAATGTGGTGTTGCAATTTAAATACACACTGTTTTTTGTGTCTCACTTGGGCATTTATTACGGTGTTTTTAGTTTTGTTATAAGGCTGTTCAGAATTGAGTTCGGGCAGACAGTCCTAACAGTGTCAGCTGCTCTCCACCAAATTTTCTAAGATGTCCGATAATAGAAATAACATGTTGAAATTTAATGTGGGAAGAAGTCTTAAATGATTTAATTTTCCTCAGGTCATTAAAGCTGCTTTGAACCAGATAAAGGCAGTTGCTCAGGGCAGTGTCACCGATGATGATGTCACAACAGCAAAGTAAGCGCATGAAGAACTCTCTTGTGTGTTGTAAAGAGAATTTCTTAACATATAGCTACTTGTCAAACACTTACACTATTCTGTCCAGTGAAGCTTATTGTTGTCCTGTAACTGTTTCCATGGGGAACTGTTCACTTTCCTGTGTTAAAACTGAAGTGCTGTCAATACTCTCTTTTTCAAAGCTATGCTGATCTCTGCTAGTGGTATTTCCTAATAAAAACTTGTTAGATATTGTTAATGTTAATGTAAGAAATTAGCAAGTATCAGCAGATGCTGTCATTTTAATCATACTCTGTAGTATTAAGATGTATTTAAATTAGAATCCTAAATTGCATTATTTAAGTAATTCCCTTTACAGTTGCACTGCAGCAATTCTCAAAACAATTATATTAAGCAATCTTCTGCATCTTCAAAGAATAGTAGTAATGAGGGTCTGCAAGTGTAAAGCACTGAATTAATGATGTTACATCCAAGTGCTCGAAATACGTGCCCTTAGGAATATTTGAGATAGGGGAAAATAACTATTAGAGCGAGTAATACCAACAAAGTGTTAGAGTTTCTAATTTATAGAGGGTTGTGCACATTAATTGGTGCTTGATCTCCAAGTAGTGTTAAACTGCACTGAGCCTCTAAAACCGTAGTTGTGCAATACAACAATATAGTACAGATTCACTCAAGTAGCAGAATTAAAGTATTGCCTGTTGCATACATGAAATACAAGACTCCACATAAAGCTTCATTACATAAAACATGATAACCTAAACATGACTGGTTGTACTTGAGTCACTAGTAGCTAAATGGTGAATTCTGGACCTTTATATTTAGCATTATTAATTTTGTGTTATGGGTTTTTTGTTTTGTGGTGGTTTTGTGGAGGTGGGTTTTTTCCTAACAAAGCTGCCTACTATTATGGAGTTACACACAGTGCTGTGGCTTTTTTTTTTTTTTAGCTTCCCTTCTGGAATGACTTAGCATATTTTCTATATTGCTCTTTTCCCTTTAGTGGCCAAAAAAAAAGCCCCAAAAAACAAACTTGGGTTCAGTGATATTTGCAGTCTTGCAATTCATTCAAAAATACCAAGCTACTTAATCATATTTTATTGGAATAAACCATTTACTGCCATTTTGACTTTTAAAAAAGAAATTTTATTTTTATAAGCTAGTCCTATTTTCATATGTAGCAGTGAGACTGTGTGAAACAGAAAAAACAGTATAAACTTGCTGTCTTTTAACAGAACATGGAACTATTGCACAAAGTGCCTAACCATTTACATTCATTGCTGTTTTGTCATGTTTGACAAAATTGCTCTGCATGCATCGGTCCTCCATGAGAAATGAATCTATTTTAAACCTAATTTTTAAACATAATAGATTAGTTTTGTCTAATTCCTGGGGTACCTGCGCTAGTCAGTTCAGACAGAAACAAATTCTGAGCTAGAAATCTTCTGACTGTGTGGGGTGTCTGATCGTTCCAAGGCAGTAGGTGTTCAGGTCCCCTGTCATTTCATGCTTGGGCTATTTGTGGTGCCTCTTTCCTAAGTACAGAACCCTTCCATACGTGTAAAGAAAAACATTGAAAAATGGAGAGGAATCTTGAAAACCTAAAAAGCACTGAAAAGTCATTGCACTTGTGGGGGTGATGGGGAAGATAACAACAGGATTTACATGCTCACTCATCCTTAATGTTTTGTTTGATGGCAGAAATAAGCTGAAAGCCACCTATTTGATGTCAGTGGAGACTGCAGAAGGGTTACTGAATGAAATTGGCTCAGAGTCATTGGTTTCTGGCACACACACATCACCATCTGTTGTTGCTCAAAAAATCGACTCTGTAGCCACTGCTGATGTTGTGAATGTAAGTATGTGTTGGCATCTACAGGTGTTCCGTAATCACTGTGTAAGGAGTTTTTTTATACAAAACTGGTGCTCATTTGTGTGTGTCTGTAAATACGCATGTATACCATCTCTAAAAAAAAAAAAACCAACTAATTTACAAATCCCAGCTGGCTCTCTTTTTATGTCTTTACTTATTTTATTAACAGAAGACCCTTTAAGCCACTGTAAAACTGGTGTAGCTGGGAGAATTCTCATCTAATTCACTTAAACTTACCAAAACTGCCAACTAGTATTCATGGAAAACTTGATACTAGTTCCAGTGCAGGCACTTCTTGTGTCAAGGCTTTTACGATTCTTGAGTCTAGTATATTTGGTGTGCTTAATAAAACAATTGGGCTTTCAATGATAAATTGACATAACTGCATTGCTATCCCAAATTATCTTGTTGCTTATATTGAAGAAACTTTATAGAGAAATTAATCAGAGAAATTCTAAAATAGAAAACTTGTTTTTTTTCACAGTCACCACTAATTTGTGTTGCAGTAGCAACTAGCAATAGATTCAGTAGTAAGAAGAGATCCACTGTATGTTGTGGTGTAATAATTATTGTAGGAATAACCATTTTCAAAGAGTTTATGCCTTTTATATCTGACTATCATTCTGCCATTCCTGGCCAGATTACAAAATAATGAGGAGCTGAATTAGAAGCAAGTAAGTTTAGACAGCAAAAGGAAAATTGTTTTCTTGATGTACTACAGTAGTGTTGGGATTTGTTTGTTTTAGTAACTTGAAGCTGAGGCTATGAGCAGCAATATAAACTCTGTTGTAGCAAATTATATCCATCTTTCTGATCTATTTTTCAGGCTGCAAAGAAGTTTGTCAATGGGAAGAAATCAATGGCAGCTAGTGGGGACTTGGGAAATACTCCTTTTCTTGATGAGTTGTAAAAACAAAACTGGGATGTGGATTCACAATGGACCTGAGCTCTAAATCACCTATGTTCTAAATAAATTACTACTAACTCGTTATTTATGAATTAAGTTCTTTCAGAAAGTTAATCTGGAGTAATTGTGGGCTTGCACTCATCAAATAAAGTGCTGAGTTCATACATTTTGTGTTGAGTTTTTTCCACTGAAAATGGTATCTAATACCGGTAAGTCTGGCTCTGTACACTGAAGGTAAAACTACAGTGAGAAAATAAGGTGACTTCTAGTCGATGTAACAAATAGATATATAAAAAACAATCACTGTGCTGCACACATACTCTAACTGCCACTAGATGTCCATGTATTCTTGTATGTTTAGGAAAAGTTCTTGATAAACTGTCTGCACCATCCTTCTATCAAGTAGATGAAAAAACTTACCTCTAAACAAAGATGAATATATTAGACCTGCAGAGAGCTTGTAACTGCTACTTGTCTGGGACTAGCAGAGGTAGTGTTTCTGAATGTCTTCACAAGAAGCAGTGACAGACCTCTGACAGAAGGGAGGGCATTGCTAAAACAGCTTTATATAGTTAACATAGCATTTCAAATATCTTGGGACATTTAGATTTTATTGAAGTCTAGCCATGTATTAAAAGAAAACAGGATACAACTTCAGAAATCTAGGTTTTGAAGAACTCAAGCTTTGAGCTATTCTGAAACAAAGGCAAATTCTTCCAGATAGGATGTATCTGATACAGAAGAGCAGGAGGAACTGGTCTCATTGTTTTCCATAGCCCAGCATGAAGGAGGTCTAATGCCAGTAGCATCAAACTTAGGATTGCACAATGCATCAACATCATTGTGAAGTAAAGCATCACAACCATTGTCTGTGTCTACTCTAAGTGTCTGGCCTATATCAGATATCTGCCAAATTTTGGATATTGATGGTAACTTATGAGTGAACTCACAACAGTATGACTGGGAAGATTTATACTGAAAAGTTTCCAAGTTGTCATCACCATCGCTACTGGACCCAGTGTTGTCTTCATCCTCAGCATCTTCACTTGTGCTGAAAATACACAGCATGGTATTATTTTAACATGCAATAATTCCCATAGCCACTTAGTTAACTAATCACAGAGTCTTAAGTTTTTTGCTAATACTCGTTCTAAAGACAAGTTCATCAGTTCTGAAGCTTCTCTGATATCAAACTAATTATCCATTACAGTTTCCTTTGGACTCAAAAGCAATGACTAAGTTGTAATTTGGTCAACAGGAAGGCAAGCTTTCCTTTTTCTGCTCCTTCAGAATTGCAAATGATTTATTTAAACATCAGCTTAGACGTTTAAACTCTTGGAAAGCCCCTTGCTGCATGAGCTTCCTTTCTGCTGTTCCAGCCTAATTATCTTCTTTTAATACTTCTGTTCCTTCCCCTACCTCTGAGGTTTCTTTTCTATTAAAACTTTGTGCCTCAGGAAAACTTGTAACTGCCTTGTATCTTAGCTAGATTAATTATACTTCTTATATGAGCCACCTTTAGGATTGAGAGCAATGTGTTTTTAAAAGCATCTATATGCAGTGGCTCTCACAAGAAGAGTTTATTTTTCCTGAAGTTTAATTTTAAAAGTCATAATCATTAACCACTGTCAGTAGTTAGACTGATTAAGAAACAGATAAGCTTTTTACATGGTTGTAACAAGACCTTCATCTTGGTACCGTCAGCTACTTGTAATTGTCCAGAACCTCGGCTATTACAAATCCACACAGCCTCTTGGACTTCAGTGGCATTATTGCCAGCCAGACATTCTATGCTCACTGTGGAGGCAGGAAGGGCGTGTCTAAAATTAATGTTTGTCCTGATGCTGTGTCTAAAATTAATGTTTGTCCTGATGCTGTCTTCACCATAACTAGAAAAGTACACTTTTGGTATTTATTCATTTCAAATCACAGCTTTCTATTTCAGAAAAATGAATGAAAGTAAATCTTTAGACTAACATTTTATCCTAAAAGGAAAGAGCTATTAAACTGTTTCTTGCTAGACTAATAAGCAAGATGTGAAATTCTAGTTCTGTACAATACTTATTTCTTACTCTGCTGTCATCACAGGAAGCTTTACTTCAGGAATTAATTCAACTGCACTTTGCCAGTGCTGAGGTACTTCAACGAAATCTCTGTAAACTCTGATTTGTAGAGTAGTTCCTATAGGAATATTGCGCAGGAGTTGCTCAAGCTCTCGCAGAGTCCATCCTAAAACGTTAGCATGTCCAATTTTTATTAGAACATCACCTGCCAAGGAAGAAAATTGACAGCAATCAGTTTAATAGACTTTTTCATGGTTTTAATGTTCGTATTACAAAATCCATAGTCTTAACCACTATACTTTCACATTTTTACGTAAAAGCATGTGTTTAGCAGCTCTTCAAGCCAACTGGATGCAGGTTTTTCACCTTTTTTAATGAAAGTTTTTTAAGCTTTTTTAAGAACTATCCTTTTCAGAACACTAAGGAAAGCTGCAGTTCACTTATTTTGGGATTTTTCTAAGTGAACACACTAAACTTTAGATTGACTATTCAGTGCTACCTTCCATTTCTGTGGGTTTTTTACGGAAGATAAAGGTACAATGGTGCATGCTCTGATCAGGACCACTACCTTGGGACCACAGCAAGGTTGAGCTGAGGTTATAGAGCTGCACAGTTCTACTGGCATCTTTCCACTGCTTCCCTATACCTTTTCACAGCACAATATCCTTTCTATACATATCTGCTGCCTACCCTCGTACGTCACCTTGTTGTTTGTCTGTCAGTACGGAGCCAAGCATACCCTTTCCTCCACGGTGGCTAAGTTTACCTAGGTGGATGTCGGAGAATCTGTGTAACAGCCATGTCACCTTTGTCTCGGCCCCGGAGGATTCCGGGGTTTGACTCTCCTCGGCAGCTGGTGTCTGTCCCTCCGCTCTCAGAACAACCAACGAGCCGTCACACTGCAGGACACTGTCAGGCGAGGCCGGAGAAAAAGCAGGAGATGCCTGCCAAGAGCTGGTGCAGAATCTAACTGAAGAGTGCCAGCAGAAAGCAGTGGTGGTATTTTGTTTGTGTCGAGGGATAAGCTGCAAGTAATGTTCTTATTACCTGCTGCAGTGGAAAGCTCTGAGCTGCAGTTTTGCAAAAAGCAATACTGCATCCAAGAACAACAGAGTACAGAAGCCCCGGCACCTATATATACCACGGGGTACAACAAGATGGACTTCGAGGGGTGGAGGGGAGCTGCAATTACTGGGTAAGCCTGTAATTTTGGAGACTGCAAAAGGCAAACAGCATCAATCTGCAGCAGACTACAGCTCTGTCAGCAGCCTGGCAGAAACAGTTGCACAGAGGAGCAGTATCGGTAAACAATATGTACTGAACTGCAACAGAACAGCATAGGGGATTTAAACAAGCAGTACAGCTGTCTGCTGCCATATTAGGCAGAGCAAGAAGCCTCTCTCCATCTGCTCTATTTTCTCCTTAACCCTTTTGGGTTAAAAATTTACAGGCTTCAAACAACTATTTTTTCATTCACTTTTTCCACTAACTACTGCTACTCCATCATCATCACACCCTCTCTCCACTCTAGCTTATCACAAGATACTGGTTCTACTGGGGTGCAAGCAAGAAACTCTAGAACAAGCATCAGGATAGCAGATATCAAAAAAGCAACGGAAAACATTTTACCAACAGTTTTATGTAAGTTCTTAGCTTCAAACAGAAAATTAAATCACCCAAATTAGGTGTTCCAAAATGCATAGACATAAATGTACCTATGCTTTGGCTTTTAATAGATTCTTTCCGAATTCTGTTTTTTCTGCCCATACTGTTCTGATAACACTGTTGTGGGGAGTCAAAGCCATCTCTAAACTGCAGACGTAGGTAATTTTGCTCCTCTGCTCCAGCATCTCAAGTCTGAACCACACCAGCTTTTCAGTTCACCTGTCAGTTTTGTGATTGATACCATTCAGTGGCCACTGAAAATTTATGTGGAGATAACCTCTTGCACTATGAAGATATTTTGAGGAAACGCACACACCAAGCAGCTCTGTTTCTTCTTGCTTGCATGGAGAGCAATGCATACGTACATAGGAGTTTGGTGAGTTTAACTGTAGGATTTTAAGACATTAGTGCCTCCCACTACCTCTGTTAATTTCTGCCTCCTCCCTGCTACAGTCGGTAGAGTGGCAGCAGCTCTTTCCAGCTATAAGCAGTAATAAAATTGTTCTTTTAGGTTCCAGTTTGAAATTGTACAGATAATACTCATCTTACTTAACTAAAAGGTAAGTCCATAAAGATAAAACCTAATTCACTGCAAGAAAAACTCCTAAGCAATGCATTTGTGCATCGTATTTTTCTCAGGCCCCATGCTCTGGACATTGGTATTAGTGCCAAAATAAGCATGCTGCCTGTGGTGTCATTAAGAGATGTAGCTTCTAGAAAATACTATCTTTTCTACAAAATTTTACAGCTTTGGTCTTAAATGCAAAGTTTTTGTAAGCTTGCTCTAAACATCAATTGAGCAAATTCAGCCATTTGCTTTTTTTGTGTGTGTGTAATGTGCTGAATTAGATCCAGGTGCTCCATGAAGCACGCTCAGATTGTTTCTTTTGGCTCCAAAAACTAAAATCAGCTACAAAGGGACAATGTTTGTTACCAGTCCTCAACCCCCTTTAAACTGTTCAATACTCGCTGCAGTAAATCAAACACATCGTATGCCATAAATTTGACTCCTTATTCTTGTAGCCTTTATTGAAAATGCTTTTGGAGGTTGCCTCTTTCAAATTGTTGCAAATAGAACTACTTAGTTTCAGTGATTAGTATTCTGTATTTTTTACATTATAGATGTAAAAAAACTCAACCACAAACCCACAACCACATCAGTATCATATATATGCTTTTGTTACCATAGAGGTTTTTTTAGGGAATAGATGAAAGCTATCAGCTCCTAAGATTATAATAATTTTTTTAAAAGTACTTAGTTCAAATCAAATCCATTTCTATTTTTATGCTCAGAATTTTTTCACTGACTTTTATATTCGGATCAAAAGTGCAAAGCCTTTTCTAAAGAGAGGTTAAGAACTCCACTAGATGGTTCTTATTTCAGCAAACAAGTATATCTTTTCTCCTAGTGCTTGGAATTCTAATTCTCTCTGAAAGGCGCGAGAAGAAAGGACTTCCCAAACTATAAAGGCAATGCTGGGAAAATTGTTCTAATTTAAAGGTATGCATTTTCACTATACAGCCAGTACATTTCTAAATTACTTCATTACACTCAAGTCTTAGCTTCATAGATTTCTACACTAGAGACAATTTAATATTTGGTAATAACATTGCACACTATCGTCCCCAAACTGTAGTTCATGAGTCTAATATAATTGGTCTAGGGACTCATGTGAAGCAGTCAAATTTACAGAGCTTTCAATTACAAGCTTAATATAGCTGTCTGATGTTCCACAAGAAACCTTAATAACTAGTAATAGTCTGTTAGTACTGATATGGCACATTTCAGGTTTAAAGCATTTAGCAAATGAACACCTGCATGGGTTGTTAGAGCACAGATATTAGTCCATTGCCACTTTGTAAATGTTCTGTATAATAAAGAGAAATAAAAAGCAAACAATGAGACAAATTCATTTCAAGCCTTTGCGAAGTTTTGTGTTATTTGTAGAGTGAAATTCCTTGCACAACAATGCACTGAACAAAGAATATTATTCAAGTTTAGTTGCTGTATAAAGGTAATAGTCAACCTATTTTTGGACAAACCTGCTGATGAATAGGAAATCTGTTTTTGCTGGAGAACGATATATCGACTTAAATCTTCATCTGATTATGAAAGTCACCCATATCAGCTATTTTAAGATCACAGGTATTTCGTTACAATGGAATGCTGCTGGCACTGAGCTTTATACAGTTTGTGCTAGTTTCTTTCCTTTGTAATTTTAAATTGAGTTTCTTTTGATCTGTGTAAGTGTAAATAAATCAGAGACAGGCTCAAAGCACAAACGCAGAACAAGAATATTTTCAATGCTATTCAGTTTGAATATCACTGTTTTGTTTCTTTTTACCTGGTTTTAGCTTTCCATCGTTAGCTGCAGAGCTTTTCTCAACAAGGCTTGTTATCTGGAGATATGGCCCATTCTGTATGATGATGAGACCCAGTCCTTGTTCACTCATCCTAATATTTGCCTTTAATGCTGCAATCAGTGTGTGCTGAGAGACATTTTCCAGTGCTGGCAACTGCCCTTCAAAAAGTGACAGAAAAATTTTACTAGTTTAAAAGTCTGATATCATTCTTCAATAAAATGTTTAAGGAGTCATTTGAGCAGGTGCTGTACCCATTCTTAATTGTCCAAACAGCTAAGTCCTTCATCCTTAATTGCTTCTCTAGATAGGCATTGCTTGCTCCGTTGCTGCCAAAAAGCCGTAATAACAATACTTATAAAAAGTTAGTGTACTCCATAAACTACCTTAATGCAATAAATATACTTAAAGTAGACTAATGTATTAAAAAGACACCCATTTCACCAAAAGAAAAAGCAATACTGCTGTTACTTAAGCATTCATTACAAATGGCAATATATTCAGGGAAGGTAGAGAACAGGGTACTGAATAACAGAACAGAGTTGTTGTCAGCTATTAAGAACTTCAATAAAAGATTGAATTCCTATAAAAAATTTATTTTTCAAATCAATGTTTATAGAGGAGATTAATTTCTAAATTTACAGCAGATTGGTTCCACACCCTACTGCTGACATGAGGGAAGGGTCTGTACTTGCTGTATTTAGCACTCACAGAAATAAAATACTCTTGAGCATCCACTATCCATTAAAATGCATACTACAAGTAATACAATATAAATGACATTATCCCAGTGTCTCTACCAAGAAATGTAATAGGGTAATAAACTAAATCCTTCATCTCTCAAGACTGTTCTCTTCATCAAGAGTCAGGAAAAATTAAGACTGTCACACGAGTGCTTTAGACTGCTATAACAAATTGTATTCTGTTAAAAATTACTTTTTAAGTAAGTGCTCTGTTTTAAGATGGAATCTCTAAATGTAACTTCTGACAGTAGGGTACGAATAACTTTAACTGCTTGGGAAGTCTGTCTCCAACAGACTGAAACCACTTAATGAAAATTCCCACCACTTTACCCCTCTTCTGTAAAATACAGAAACTTGGTCATCTTTCCAATGGCTTCAGTAAAGCTTTGGATCAGGCTCTAAATGGCAGCACAGACTGTCTATAAAAGATTTAGGATTGAAAATATAGCAATGTGAACATTTGATTTGTCAGTTTGGCTGCTGAAAGAAAACAGAGAGAAGGAAACAGGAACAGTTTGAATTTTTTTTTTTCTTACCAATGAAAAATGCAGGGGTTTTGTAGAATACTACATTTGATTTGGATGGAATACTTAATTTTCATGGCCATGCAAGAAAAGCAAAGGAAGACCCACCCTGGAACACACTTTCATCTGTTGATAATTCTGAGAGGTCAGATTTCTGATCCACTACTCCTTCTCACCTATAATAATATAATGTATATAAAATATATATTTATATATAATATACATTTTATATAGATATAAAATGCACTACTGTTCAGGAATCTATAGAAAGTGGAACAGGATCAGTAGAAGTGATTGAAACCTTTCCTACGGTGTTCTTGGTCACCTTTCAAGAAATGTGTGTTTCAATCTTTTGCAGCCAGAAGGGGGAATTGAATCCTAGTTTCCTACTTCCAGAATGAGTACTTAACTCCCAGGCCAATAAATGCAAACAGTTGATATAATGAAGTAAGGCTACTTTATATTATTTTCTAGCCAAAATTATTCAGCAAATTCCATTAAAATTCATGAGCAATTGTAGGTCACAAAATGATCAGCACTGAAACAACAAACAAAAAATGCTAATAACAAATCTGGCTAACTTTAATTGGAAGCCAGAATACTGATTTTAAGCTGCTTCTTATTGCATGAAGATATCTTGCTGGACATGAGAGATTTAAAACCATGAAAGCTGTGACTAATCCAAAGCCTACAATTTTTACAATATTTAAAACGAATGCCAAGGTTTGCACTTTTAGATGAGACTTTTGGTTTTTTACTATACCTGATATCAGCTTATGTAGTCTCCAGGAAAGGGGAAATTTCTCTTTGTTCTGTGCTACAGAACGTTTAGACACTCGACAGAATTTACATTACAGTTTCCCTAACACTCTCCTGATTTTCTCCAAGGTCACTCTCAAATTCTGCATTTTCTGGAAGCAGCAGCATAGGATCTCATGCAATCCTCTGCTGCTGAAGAACCTTCCTCTTGTCATCTGCCTACAATTCCATTCCAAATACCCAACTTCAGGAACAGGACTGCCTCTTGATGCATAGAAAATCTTGCGCACTAGGGCCTCCGTGAAGAAAATAAACTGTCTGGTAGCACAAGGACTTAAAAAGGTTGAGATACTGAAATACAGGACTGGAAGAGTAGCACTGGGGCAGCAGTGAGGAGATAGAAATGAACAGAGGAAGAAATGACCCAGAGAGATGGCAACTTACTCTTAGTTTCATCCCCAGCCGCTGGTGAAGACTGTGTACGTTCCATCGAGTCTAGAGGAAGAGCTTTTTCTATGGAGCCAAAACCCCTGGGCAGGCGTGTTCTAGGTGAGCCTCCTGGAAATGTGCTACTGCTCCATGATGGCCGTGGAGGAAGAGTCTACCAGCAGGTGAGGAGGTGACCTCAACCCCCAACAACTGCCCGGAATGCTGGGGCAGGTGGGTTCTGGGCCCCCGCCCCAGCAACCCAGCATGGGGAAGTCTGGCGTTGGGCAGAGGATGTGTCTGTATCCAGTCTGGAGCAGCAATTCGATTTAAGCTGCCTCGTCCATCAGTATCGCAGCTCTGAGGCCCCAAAACCTCCTGGAGAACCTATAGCTGGCAGTGTCCTCCCACATGGCATCCATAGGCAGGTACTCATCTCCGAATACACCTGAGAAAGATTAAACAAGTGACCACACAGCCTGCAGGGTTGAAGGCTGGGTTCTGTCACTATTTCTGGCTTCATATTTGCCTGCATTTCAAAAGCCAACGAAAACCATTTCTTCCCCTTGTGTACCCTCTCCACCCCTCCTTCTTTTATTCCTTTTGCCATGAAGCTCAGTTATTTAGAGGCAAACTCATTTTGAGGCAGACTGTTACATAACGCTTGTATTAAAAGCTATTTAAATACCACTTAAAGCCAGTTTATAGGATAGTTGCAGATGATTCTTGGAAATAACTTCTTTTCAAGGCTGCTGGATTCCCATTGTTAGTGCAATATAATTTAAAAATCTTTTAAATAAAAAAATCAATTGTCCCGTCTTCCACGCACCAATTGTTCCCTGTTTAAAGGGAATAATTTCAGCTGTTTTTCATCAAAAGTCTTACTATTTTCTCCACCCTTAAGAAAATCTGTCAAGAATAGGCGATTTCAAAAGAACCTAAGTACAGCTCTTGTCCTCCAAATAATAAGGCCTACTGATTGCTGTTGAACACTTTAAGATTACTTTACTAATATCTCCATTTTGTTTGTATAGTCTCCCAACTACATAAAAGACTTACATAAAAATAAACAGCACAGTTGCGGGCTTGGCTTCCCGATACATGCTGTACAGAGCAGTTACGCTGGTTGGAAAAAGCAGGTGGGTGTTCACTGTTAGAAGGAAAAACCTGTGTGTAAGCAGTTAGATGTTTTTCAGGTACCTGTAGATGTGGGGGCTGCTAGGCCAATTTGGTTCAGCATTCCCATGCCAGAATGACAATACCAAAGGCACAGAGTCCTCGTGGCCAAAACCGCGCTGGCTTCCCACATGCGGTGCATTGTTCATTTATTGGCTACAGATTCCCCCACGCTTCAGTATAGCTGAATCCGTAAAGCATGTCATCAAAAACTGCTGTATTTGGGCGATTTCTGGTGGAGATTAATGAGGTTTTCTTTCAAACACCCAGCACAGGCAGCAACACAACGTAGGGCTTTTGCGGTGCTCCAGAGTCACGGAACGTCTGGAGGAACCTCCCTGAATCAGCCCTTCCGCTTCCCTGATTTTACTGTTGCTACAGAGCAACTCTGAAATTTAAGCTCATGCCCAACATTTCGAAGGGGTGGAGGGTGATGGTGACTAGCGAAACACAAGGTATTTTTTTGGCAGTTGAAGGCAGATCTATGGTTGCTCCTCAGCCTGCTTTGCACAGAGCTGACCAAGTC